AGATAAACGAGAGTAGGAGACGTACCGTTAAAGCAGATATCGCGTACTGGACATGGAAGAAAAGGCGGCGCTAGGTGTCTGGTTAGGTGGAGGAGCGGGTTCTGGTGGTGGCAACGAGGTGTCTGGTGCGGGTGGTGAAAGGTTCTCTGTGTTGTCTGTGGGATAGTTTGAACTTGTGGGGTCTATGGATGAGGAATGGGAAGATGATAATGATGAGGTGCCTGTATTAGAGTTTGAATTTATGGGGTTTGTATGTGGGCTTGGTTTTGATGGTGTAGGTGTTTGGTCTGAGACTAAAGGAGAATTTGTGTCATCATGATGAATGGATAATACGGGAGAATCTAATTGATTTTCTGGTGGTGAGGTAGCAAGAGGAAAAATGTGCTCGTGAAAAATGACGTCATGAGATGTGAAGATTTGCTTGCCATCAAGGTCATAGACACGATAGCCCTTTTGGCTAAGAGGATATCCCAGAAGAAGAAAAAAACAGCGACGTGCACGTGTGGCAAACTTGTGCGAGGGAGTAAGATTGGTGGCATAACATAAACACCCAAAGATGAGAATATTCGGGTGATGTGGCGTGCAATAGTTCATAGGGAGATTTATGTGAAAGTAAGGGTGTAGGAAGGCGATTTATGAGATAACAAGCAGTTTGGATACTTTCCCCCCAGAACTTTAAAGGTAAATTGGCTTGAAAACGTAATGCACAACCAACATTCAAAAGATGCCGATGTTTGCGCTCAACCACCCTGTTTTGTTGAGGAGTGTGAGCACAAGTATGTTGGAAAATGGTTCCATGAGCATTTAAAAACGCATGCATAGATGCAAATTCAACCCCATTGTCGACACGTAGAGCTTTAATTTCATGATTAAATTGTGTTTTGACCCAAAAAAAAATTGATTTCAACAAGGCTTGTGTATCGGATTTAAAACGCATGAGATGAACCCATGTTAAGTGAGTAAAATCATCTAAAATAGTTAGGAAGTAACGTGCTCCAGAGTGTGTATGAATTTTATGTGGTCCCCAAATATCACAATGAATCAAATCAAAAGGTGCAACCGATTTTATTGAACTTGAAACAAAAGATAAGCAAGTTTGCTTTGCTAAAGGACAAACATACAAACATGCTTAGAATCAAATATGATTTTTGGGATGGTCTGGGATAAAGAATGAAGAAGGGATGATGATGGGTGTCGAAGACGTTGGTGCCAAAGTCCCAAGGTGCGGTTAACATAATTAGCTAGGTGAAGGTTTTGGCTTGGTGTGAGGTAGTAGAGCCCATTAAAATACTTGCCTAGGCTAATCGTCCTCTTCGTATCCATGTCCTGCACAACACAAAAATCCGGATAAAATATCACAACACATCTTAACGCTCGAGTTAATTTACTCACAGACAACAAGTTCACACAAAATTTTGGTACATGTAAAACTCCATCAAGAGATATCTTTGGTGATAATTTACTCACAGACAACAATCACAGCTTGTCCTCCATTTGGTAAACCAACAAAATCATTTTGTGTTTTATTTTTATTATGATTGAATGATAGATGAGAAATGTGATCCATTGCCCTGCTATCCATAATCGAATATAATGTTGAATGTGGTTCATGTTGTGCAATATTGCATGTGGGTGTATATATACATGTTGCATGTGCGAATGGCTAATCTTTACTGTTCTTATTGCGAAGTAGAGCCATGAGTTGATTGTACTCCTCGATTGTGAACGTTGGGTTGTTGGAGGTTGATGCCTTGGTTATGTCAATGTTGGTGGCTTGTGACTGAGATGCTTCAACATTGTGGGATGCTGGATTTGTACGTTTATTCCTGGGCTACACATTCTTGCCATGCCACATGTGACCTTCGGGAAATCCAATAAGGAAAAAGCAACGTTTTACTGGATGTCCTCCTTCACAGTAGTTGCATTTGAATGTCTTACGTGAATTAGAGCTGCTAGCACCAGAGCCTCATTTTGGCATTGTAGAACAACTTGTTTGCATGGCGTGAGTAGCAGGTTCACGACGATTTGCCACATCTATTTGGTGTTTGTGTTGTAGAACCAGCCTATAGACTCGTCGTGTATCTGGGAGTGGACTCATCATCAAGTTGGAGCCTCGTATGGTTGAGTAACTCTCGTTCAACCCCATTAAAAATTGCATGACCTTCACTTTTTCCTCCCGTTTTGCACGTATCTTGGATCCCTCACATTCACAAGCAATTGGCTCATGGTATGATGCCAATTCATCCCAAAGAGCCTTCAACTTTGTGTAATAATCTAAAATAGATAGATGTCCTTGTCGATGTTCGACAATTTCTTGTCGAATTTGATAGATCCTTAAATCGTTTCCTTATGAGAATTGATCCTCAAGATCCTTCCATGCTACAAATGCAAATTTGCAGTAGAGTATACTGTGAGCAATGTTGCCTTGCATGGACTGCCAAATCCATGACAAGATCATGTTGTTACATCTCTGCCAAATTGAATAGTTGGTATCAGTGATTGCAAGGCTCTTGATTGATCCATCAATAAACCCAAGTTTGTTCTTGGCATTGAGAGCAATACGCATAAAGCGGCTCCACTGTCCATAGTTGTGTTCGTTAAGAAGCTGCGAGACCAAAAACAAGACTTGGTGAATTTGAGTGATGTAAGATGAGAGGATTGGATGCGTATGGCATCACCTCTGTTGGTTTTTCGTCGCTCATGTTGGTTGTGTTTAATGGAAGGAATTTGGGTTGCATTTGTAGCGGAAGTGGAATGGGCTTATAGAGTCACCAAGATCGGTGCTTTGATGCCATATAGAATTGTTATGTGAATGTATTTTGTATTGCGTAACTTAAGCTGTACAAAGGTATGAATTTATACAAGAATTGTGAAGTTATTCTAGGTAAACTGAAACTAATTCTATGCTATTACAATCCTCTCCTACAATCACTCCAATATGGATTATTATATCCTACAATCACTCTAATATGGATTATTGTATCCTACAATCACTCCAAATCATATCAGATTGTTGACTATTTTATTTCCTTTAACAGTTGATGAATGTTGCAGGGATTCTGTCAAGAAATTTGACTCTGTTGAAGTTGCTGCTAAAGTGGAGTCTGTGCTGTTTGAGAACCTGGGTGCTCGTCCAGTGAGTCTACCGCATCGAGCAATATGCAAATTCTTGTGGATCCCTTCGATCAAAGATCTTCACAGAGAAATCCTTCTTGGGAAGATGCCACTAAAGATGTTGGTTCGCATGTCCAATGAAGTACTGGAGCGTAAGTACCTGCTTGAGCCATGTGGTTTGGAGGAGGATCTTTATGCATGAAACTATGACTGGATGCAGTGTTGATCCCTTGGAATTCAAGTTGTGTTGTACTTGGACTTACGCGATATTCTGCTTATTTCTACTTTGTGGTAGTATATTTCGTTTCTCTACTTAATCGTTCTTTCTACTTTGTGTGTAAGGATATTATGTGTGAAATTTGGCAAAAAGCCACCTGTTTTTAGTGGAACAGTTTTCTTGTAGGAAAAAAATAATAATATTTAGTCTAAATTTTATACAAATAAAAATAAAAGAAAGACTTTTAAGAAAGAAAAAAGTTATATATGTCACCACCACTTTACTATAATCATCACAACTGACACTCATCTATCATTGTTGCCACCACCACCCTACTCATCTTTGCCACTGCCATCACCAATGCAACCACCAACACACCTAAAATCATTGTTGTCACCCATGTTACCTCCACCGCAATCACTCCCACGACCATAGCCAGCACCATTTTCACCATCTTCACACAACCACTACCACCACCAACCCTCATCAACATTTTTACCACAACCAGCTTCTGCCACTAGCTCCGTCTATACCATACCTCTACAACAACAACAACAACAAAGCCTTTTCCCACTAAGTGGGATCGACTATATGAATCCTAGAACGCCATTGCGCTCGGTTTTGTGTCATATCCTTCGTTAAATCCAAGTACTCTAAGTCTTTTCTTAGAGTCTCTTCCAAAGTTTTCCTAGGTCTTCCTCTACCCCTTCCTCCCTGGACCTCTGTCCCGTAGTCGCATCTTCGAACTTGAGCGTCTATACCATATCTCTATCATAACTAAAATCACCATCTACTAAGCCATCATTCCCACCACATTTGCCCCTGCCACCACCCATACCCACTACTAGATCCACTACTAGCGCTACCATTTTCACTATCACCAACATCATTGCAACCGCCACCACCACTACCACTTTATAATTTATATTACAGGACTTCACTACCAAACATGACTTCATATTTATTTATTTTTTCATTTTAGATACTTTTACCAAACACACTTCCAATGTGCTCGTTTTCAAAAGATTATTCTCGTACTAAACTATTAGATGCATCGCTAAACATAACAATGCAAAATTTTTCTTGTTTTTGTTTTACAAACAAGTTCTTATAAGGTCATCTGTTATGCAAGCCCTAAAACTTGTGATAAAATTGCACCAATTCTTTTATAAAATACACATTTGATTCACTAAAGGACCTATTTACCTTTCGGAATGTCATCGTGACATCCTAAACAAATAACATCTCCTTAAGTAAGTGTTAATAAGTACACCACCGCTATGTAAGTCTTTTCTCTCTGCATGACATTGTATTATGGTCCAAATGCCTCCATAGGTCAGTGTCAATTATTACTCACGAATCATATTTGTTTTGGGCTGTGTGAGGCGACTGCCACCCATTCCGCATTCGGTTCGTGAGCTTAATGGGCCATGTAATGCTTGACTAGTGTAAAAAAGTAGGTGTGGATGCATCATGTGGCACCCATCTGAGTCCACGTAATCATATTATCCACACTGGTTTATCAAAAAATCAAGCTGCTGATGACGTGTCAGAAAGTTGGATTTCAGGACCAATCACCATACACTGAATCTCTCACTTTAAAATTTAAATCAAACCATTTCTCAGAAAGAAAGAAATAAATAAATAAATAAAGAGAAAAAAAATGTGTGGTGAAGGGGCATAAAACATAGATTTTGGAGTTTTGGTGCAAAGGAGGTGCCTCGCAGTCCACCACACGACCACAGCTATGAACTACAATCCTCCACAAATTCTTCTTCCTTCCTCTTTCCTTTTCTCTCTCTAATTTCTCATCTCTCTCTCTCTCTCTCTCTCTCTCTAACTCAGCAACCAAATTCAGAGAAGGGAAGAAACAATGGTTGCAGGTGAAAGAAGATGACCAAAACAGGGTTATGCATCTTCCATGGCCACTCATTGTGCTTATTATGTATTTCCACCATCGCCACTGAGGACCTTGAACAAAACCACAACTTTTGTCTCCCCAAAAAAACCCAATAAGTCTGTTTTGCTTTCTTCCATCAGCAACAACACAGACTCCTACAATGCCTTTGTTTCTGAGGTACATATATCCATTTTCTCCTCTTTTTTCTCAATATCTTTTTTTTTATGCAATTTCTACTGTTTATTCATACAGGCATTGCAACATTTAATTTGTATTTGACTATTTGTAGTTAGAGACTTGTAGCCCATATAGTCAAGAGCGTTTACCTTGCAGGCGAGGTCATGCGTTCAAACTTTCCTCCCAGTATTGCTTGCTAATGGGATTGTTCAACATTTTGTTATTTTTTATGCTTAATTATGTCCAATGGATAATGTTTTAATTTGTCAATATATTCATCCCCATGAGAAGTCCATATTTGTTCCTTGGTTTTCATTACAAAAAGATATGATGTGGTTTAAGACTCGGCATAGCCAAATTGGTTTCAGCAGTGTGTTTCCCCCTGTGCACCCAAGTTCGAATGCCCCTTTCCGTTGGGTTGCAATTTGTAAAATATGCCTCTCTGTTGCAGAGATGATGGAAACGAAACCTTTATAGCCTTTAGTTTCATTACTTTTTTAGTGCATCGTTGATGTTCTCTTGCTGGTTTAAGCAGCTCAAATTGTTTTCTGCAATGTGATTGTTAAAGTTGGGTTCATGGAGTGCCGAATGAAAACATTATGTTCTTGCTTGTAGGCCGCTAGTCTTTTGGGTCCAGCGAGATTCGAAGCCTCCAAACTAAAAGTTGAATTTATGGGAGAAGAGATGAATAATTATGTTGGAATCACCCCGAGAACATATATCCTATCTCACTGTGACTTCACAGCTAACCTGACCTTAAAGATCTCCAATGTCATCAACCTCGATCAGGTATGCTTGATACTTTATTTCTTCTCAAGGCTCCTAAAATTTGTTATGAGAGAAATTTTTTTATTGGATCCTTATTGCAGCTAAAAGGATGGTACAGCAAGGATGACGTCGTTGCAGAATGGAAAAAGGTGAATGGTGAAATGTGCCTGCATATCCATTGCTATGTGAGCGGTCCCAATATGCTTAACCTGGCTGCCGAGTTCAGATATCACATCTTTTCCAAAGAAATGCCTTTGGTAAGCGTCTCTCCTAAGACACTACTCTGACGTGCTATGAAATCTTCCCTAAATTTAGTCCTAATATCAGATACAATGCTTCGCTTCTCATACCAAATTTAATGTAAAGGACAATACCAAATTTAACTTAAAAGGACAATACCACACTATAGAGGGCCATTGGCATACCTGAGACCCGGTGAAAAATGTTTTACTTCATACTGATCATCTTAGTTTAGCAAGTTTTATGAGTCTTCTTACCTTCATTCTGATATGTACTGCAACTCCTCATCATCATTATTGTTTTCAAAATGCATACTTTGCCTCTCTTTGCACGTACTTTTTTGTTTGAAACGCTAAAGGATATTCTGATTGTTAAACGAATGAAGTTTCCTTTCTTTTTGTTTGCATTCAAACCAGGTACTCAAAGCTGTGTTACATGGAGACTCGCTACTTTTCAGAGAGCATCCCGAACTACCGAATGCTTTGGTTCGGGTTTACTTTCATTCTAGTTTGAAGAAGTACAACAGAATTGAATGCTGGGGCCCTCTCAAGGATGCTGTAGAGGTAAAATTCCACATGTTCCTTCTTTTAAGAATGCGTTTCGATTGTCATGTCACCATAGCTTACTATGTGAAAGACCAGTTATGATAAACTTCAGTTGTTTCGATCGGCTGTTCCTAAAAATATAATTTAAGTACATATATCGAGCATACAATATGTCTTAATTTGCATTTGAAGTAGAGGTTTTATTCTTCGTTTGTGAATCAATATTTCAGGGAAGACAAGGGGATCACACCAAACGAATAGCTGCACGTACAGATTCTTCCCATCCTCGGGACAAGTGGGGAACGCCAAAATCCATATTTCAAGTTCTATTTGCATTCCTTCTTTGATTCTTTGAAGTCAATTGCGTACAAAACATAACCTTGAAAGTTTTTAATACCTTTAAGGCTCTGCGACTTCAACAGCCAATGCCAGAGGAAGAGAAGGACTCGGTTTTCGTGTGTAAAGTTCAAAGAATTGTTTGTGAAGTCTCATAAGGCCAAATGCTCATGTTGCTATAACGCACAGATTGTTTGGGGGGACATGTAACTGATTCAAAATAATTTCTGCGACTAAGACCAATTTGTTCATGCGTTAATTCAATGGCAAATGTCTTTGTTCCTTGACATGTCTTTTGCTTCTTCTGTATTTGCATTCCATTTAATTTTTACTTTTTTTCTTTCTACTAATTACTGTTGAGAGCTGTCCGACATTTAAAAAGAAAGCTTTGCCCTGACCATGATATATATCGATAATTCAAGAATGATGTCAGGGTTCAATCCTGCGATCCAAACAGTAATAGAACACGAAACTTCTTCTGCTTGATTTACTATGGTAATTACTGTAATGGTGGTTTTATTGGCATCCCACAATTTGATGTAACCGCCCCACTATCAAACACCGATTATGAATCCACTTCGTTGTTTATGTTTAATAGTAATGGGAATGGGTGGCTATAGGGTTTTTTGTTGATCTTCGGCTAAAACGATTCACTTTTGACACTTGGTTGCTTAAAAGATCCGTTTTATCATGTTATAGTTATATCATTGTTATGTCGTTTGATATATTGGCCGAATGCTGTCTATATTTGATTTCGATTATTTCAGCAACCAAATGTGAAAATGAATCATTTAGCGATTTGCCTTTTTGAATTTGATTCCTAGAGGGGAGTGAATTCAACATAAAGAAAAGGGTAGGATTGGATGGTGGGGTGGTTTAATCAAATTGTGGGTTCAACAGAAAAAACCGCACTCTTATTGTAATTATGCGTATGTTTGCTTGCACGCCAAGTATTCAGTGGGAATCATCCTGTTATCACAAATCTCTATGTTCCTCCTATTGTGGTTTTATATTGGAGGCTCACTTTTTAATAGGAAAACTAATGAAAAGGGTTTGAAAACTTTGAGTTTTAATGATAAGGACAAAATAAAGGGTAAAGTGAATAGTACCAGGATTGACTTTTTAGTGTAAAAATATGGTTTTTCGTTAAAGTGAACAGTACCGGGTGCTTTTCGTTAAAGTTCTCCTTTTTAATAGGGTCTCTAAACAGTAACAGAGACTATTCTTGAACCGTCTCTAAGTTACACAAGCCTCGTTGGTATACAAGATCAGATTGAAATATGGATAATGCACTATTTGTAAGATATGTTGAAAAAAATTATAATTTATTACTAACTTAGGTAGTAGCCAGATTACTTAAGAAGAAAACTTATTCATTTCAATCCTTACCAAAATGGGAGGACGAGAAATGAGAAGTTTTCTTCATGCACAATCCTCTTCTAATCCCCTTAAAATGAAAACTCATTTTAATCTACCTTCAATAGGCCTTGCATTTAGAAGGTTATCTATATTAATCCAACCCTTTATATAAAATTTCTCTCTTACCATCAAGGTTTCCCCGAAAAAAAATAAAATAAAATAAAAAATCCAACCCTTAATTATGCCAACCGAGCACATGACATAAGAAAGGAAAAAAAAGTAACACCAATAATCTTTTAATATTTATAATCTATCACGAAAGCTTTTGAAATGCTTATTAAATGCATTTACAATCCTTGTATCTAACATTTTGTAATCCATTTCTTCCTAACTTGGCCTCATCCAATTCGTTCCACAGTAAGGTATGACTCATGTAAAGGTACCTAATTTACATCTTAATTATGTACAAGCTAAAAAATAAAAACCAAAAATTTAAAACTCTTAAGTTTGTATACATTTCCTACATTCTCTTTCATTTCTCTCTCATCTTTCACAACCTTCCTCCTCACTCTTTTCCTCAATATAATTTCCCTCTACGTCTAATGAGAGTAAATAAAAAGTAAAAACTAGAAACCAAAACAGTTATCAGTCGTGCCTCCACACAACAAAACATGCAAGGCAGGCATGCACGAAAGTGCATGAATTCGGGACGAAGGTTCCTCCTCTCCCTCCTACTCTCCTCTAAAACAGATATCTGCTCCCGCTCGACTATTTATACTTCTCATATGCAACTTTCTCTTATTCCTCTCTCACTCTCTCTCTCTCACACACAAACAGACGCACACATGTACATACCTAGGCACGCGAATGTGTGCAGTCCTACTCACGGAGATGGGAAGGAAGACGGTCATCAAGGCTATGACCGTCGAGTTGGAAGCAATGTTGAGAGAGTCGTCGGATTAGGAAGGAGCAGCAGGGATACTGCCTCGTGCCTCCAGTTAGAGGGAGAATCAAGCGCAAGATTTTTGCCCTTGTATTAAAGACATTGAAGCTTGCAACCCAACATTCACGTTCTTACTAATTACTGATACTGTGAACTTGGACCAACCGTATGGCACATGGTTTAGTTCTCGTGCTAATTAATTAAAATAAGGTTCAAGCCTTCAAGGTCCTTGTTTAATTAGATACAAATGCTTGTATTAAAACTATCATGTATATGCTTATAAATCTTTCTCGTGCGTTTAGTCTGCACTAGTAAGAAATGAAACTAGATTCATATGTATATGCTTATTAATATTTCAAGTACCAAGGCTCCCTTTATTTTGCACCAGATTCATGTATATGCATTTCTTACTAGTGCAGACTAAACTGAAATTTGGTACTTGATAATTCCTCATCCAAATACAAAAGTAGGGTCACAAGTAAGGGACTTGGATAGCGTTTCTACAATGTTCCTTGCTACCACTATACGTTTAAGATTTTCACTTTGGCTCTTTTGGCTATTGATATTTTTCATTTGTTATTCTTATGCCTTGAGTTTTGCATGATCGCCACTTGTGTTTACAATAAAAATACTCCAACTATAAATTTTATATGAAAATACTTTAAAAGTTCAATTAGAAAAGAAAAAAATGACGTCATTTGTCCACTTGTTATGATATTTGATTCGTAGTAGTAAAATTTGAGATTGGTTACACTATTTACATATTTAATGCAATAATTATTTGGCAATTGGGTATAATTCATGTGAATATATGTATTTAATGCAATCATGATATGACCGTGTGTATTGCCATCGTGAAATGACAATATGAAACAAAGCTTCTGTCATTGAAATTGTGAAATGACGACTAATTTGGTGGAAATTGAGGTCGGTAATTCGCTTTCCCATATTTCATGTTTTTCCGTGTGTATTGCCCTCATGTCAGCAGCAGCCTTCGTTTCGTACAATTAAAATTAATTGTCATGGAGCTTGGGTTAGAGAAACGGGACGAGGAGGATATGGTTGGGTGTCACGGGATTTTGCTGGACTTTTCAAGGCGGCAGGAGGTGTGGGTAACATTTTTTGTGAGTCCAGTCTTATAACAGAGGCGAAGGCAATATGGGCAGGATTGGTGGCATGCGTGGATAAAGGGTTTGATGTTGTCTAGGTGGAATTGGATTCAAAGGAACTTGTGGATATGATCAGCGGAATTACTTAACCAAACGTTGCGATTGAAGGTTTCTATTTGATATTAAGTGTATACAAATGCAATTGAAGTCAGTAAATTTTATTTTTGCTCCTCGAGTTTGTAATCGGGCAACACATGTAGTGGCGTCTTTTGTCTTATGTATGGGAGGATTTCATACATGGGATTTGTTTGAGCTAGAATGATTGTTCAACACTTTAACTTTAGATGTAAACGTTTATATTCAAATTTAATAAAATCTTTCTTTTAACAATAAATAAATAAATAAACCTCTAGTTGCCGAACAAGGGAAATGCAATTTCAACGCTCAATTTCTGAGTTCTAGTCAAATCTCGAGTTATTTTAAAGCATAAAAACACGAGGAGATTTACTTTCAACACTTCTTTCTCATGTATCACGTATATATTAATTAAAGTAAGCATTTTGGTACAACTATATACTTACCGACCATAATAATTTGTTACTAAATTTATTAATATCGTCATCGATAAGACCCAAACTTAAAATGTACTACTTATAAATGAAGATGTATATCAATCAATTAAATATTTGTATTGATGAGGATACTAAATATTTGTGAGACTTATTTTTAGCTACGCTCCTTGAACTCGATTTTGATTTTATTTTGTCTCTTGAAACTTGAAAATCATTTCCATAAAATTCAAAATTCGTTTCACATTACCTTAAATTTGTTAATTTTTTATGAAACGTAACTAAAAATAAACTTATTTGTGAACAAAGTGAGAGACAAATGAACTTGGAGGGTGAGGCTGACCGCTGACCCAGTCAACCGTGGTACTATTTTGGGTTCATTTGACCTTAATTTCACGGCAAGAGTATGTTGAAAATAGTTAATTTGACTTTTATTTTATGATAAGAAGAGATTTTTTAGCGTGTCAGAAATACGACTTGTTATACAAGATATAGTAATATAATTGTGAGAAACTTAAAAAAAAAATTCAAATAATTATATTATGACATTTGGTTTACCAAACCGTGTTTTCCACACAGAACATAGATGAAAATATTCAACGCAGATGCCGACTCAGCCGTTCCCATTCCACATTCATGTGGGCCCAGTCGCCACTTCTAAAAGGCGTTCACGGTCCGGATCATTTCGCAATAAAAAAAAAGTCAAAGAGGAAGCTCTCAGAAAATTAGAACTTCCAATTTCCATACGAAGGAAAAATTAAAGAGAATATTCAATTGAAGACCATGGTAAGATGTTTAAAGCATTTGGTTGAGAAAATTAATTCATCAAAAATTATAACTTTTACACTAACATATCAATTCATCGTTATAGTATAAGATTTCAAAATTTTCGCTTGGAGAAAATTTAGAATTTGAAAATCATAAATTTATCACGGTTACCACACATCATCAAGACCACCCTCATCGCTACCACAACTCCATCACCACCTTGCTTTTATCATGAACACTGCTATTGTTGTCGCCCTAGCACTCTACCAACATTGCTACCACTGCAACTGCCGGCGCTACTCACTACCATCACCATGCCCGCTACAACTTCACTTTCCCATGAGCATCACAGTAACCACCATAAATATTACAATTAAAACGTTACCACTACCACTTTTCAGTCAGAGCCAGACTTGAGGGTAGTCGGAATAGGCGCCCGCCTAGGGCCCCCACTTCGGAAGGGCCCCCAATTTTTAGGTGGAGCTAGGCAGGTCTAGACGGAGATGGGCGGGTGTTATGCGGGCTTATATGTAAACACCAGAATATGGAAATCTTTTGTTGCAGGGTCGGCCTCGTGCGAGGAAGAAGACAATTATATTCCCAACATCATTTTAATTGCACGATCTTAACTAAGATGGTCCTACCATCTGTTTTTTATAGATGCACGTCTTCTCCCTTTTAAATAGTCCCCACCATCTTATTTTTACTTTTTTGCTTCTATCTTAAATACCACCGTTATGTTTATTTTATGGGTTTTTATTACCCTATTTTAAGATCACATGTATCTTTATTATATACCTAAAAGGTTAAAACTCTCACTTTTTGAAAAATGACATTATTTAATGTTCAAATTAATTAGTTTATATAATATATATAATAAATTATTCAAATCCGCCTTGTCCGCCTAGGCGTGTATGCGAAAATTACTATCCTCTTCACTCTAGTATTTTCCCTAGCTGTAAGATGTTGTGTAATCCAATCATTCATTCATTTATTGAATGTAATAAGTAGCATTGTAACAATAGAAAAATGATTGGAATTTGGCGTACTGGGTAGGGACTTCCTCTTTCAGTTGGAATTGGTTGAAAAAATTAGATTATGTAAACTTAATAAATGCATTTGCATCTCAAAACGTGAGATGATTAAAATTTGAGTAATGTTTGTATATCCTTTTTTTTATATTAATTTTTAATGATATTTAATGTAGAAATATATTTTTCATGTATTTAGTGATTTTTTTTTACACATGTCAATATACAAAAGGTCGTGAGTCAGAGAACTCTAGGACCCCCAAATTCGCAAGACCGACCCTGTTTCCAGTGGCCATCACCACAATAAGCACCACTACTAGCACCCCCACACCTATCACCACCGCTTTTACTGCCCCATTTATGTACCACTCTCACCATCGTTGTTTGGTTCACCACCCTTTCACCAACACTGCCACCACACTCCTATCACCACCACTTTTACTACCCCATTTCCATACCACTCTCACCATCATCGTTGGTCCACTACTCTTCCACCAATACTACTGCCACCACTTCCACCGCCCGTCATCATCCCCATCGCTAGCACATTTGTCAACTATCATCCTCAGCTTTTTCGTCACAAATGACATGATAGTTACACTAGCCTGATCTAAATAAAGGGGAAAATGTTCGAACTTGGATACAAAGGGTGAAACACAACAGTCAGCTCTAGCTAACTTGACTAAATACATATTTGCAATCCACATTTATAAATTGATGAGGACTAGTGTATTATTTTCTAAGTACGACTTTAAGAATTGTAAACATTAACCGTAATGATCTTTAGATAAGTACATTTTGGTTTGTAAGTTTTAAGTCGAAAGTATTTTTCCTAATGTTTTAGTTTTGTCAATTTATTAAATTAACCTCAGCTAAGTTTTCTACTTGATATTAACGATAACTACTCACTTGAATCCATTCTATTATGTTGTTTTATAATTTGAACTTTCATCTTTAATTTGTCTAACTATGAACAAATAATATGCCAATACAATACCTCCTATAAAACAACACTCAAATAATCAAATGACGAGCGATAAATTAGTATCAAACTTGTTAAAAAAAACAAAAAAAAACAAAGGGACTTTTATTTTATATTTTTTTCATTTTGTAGAAAAAGTTGTAAGTCCGAAGTTTTGGTTCTAATTTCTAAACAGCAAAAGCTGACGAGAAGAAACTACCACCAAACAAGCAAAAACAATCCCCCAACCCAGAGAAAAGGAAAAGCGAAGGAAAACCCACTCCCGTGATTATCCCAATTCCTCTTCTCAAATTCTCAAATCTTGGCATTTCGGTGGGTTCTGATTCTATTTGATACTGGGTTTTCACAGGTACGCTTTTTCCCTGAGATCCTGACCCAAAATACTCAAATCTTCTCATTCCCTTGTCTTATTCTCTGATCTTTTTTGTCAACTGGGTTTAAGCGCGGGGCCATTTTCTTGCTAATTCGATTGTTGATTTTCAATTTAATACGAATATCCAATTGGGTTTTGCTTCCCTATGTTTTTTGCGTTCAAATTTTTGTGGGTACGGAGTTGACGTTGAATTTTGATTGGTGTTAATTGTACTTTATTGACGATCTGACTGTTTTTTCTTTTGATTTGGGATTTGTAGTGATTGGGATGAGCGAATAGTTGAATTGGGATTCTCATAAGTTTTGTCTTGGTGGGTAAGAAAATAACTTTTGGAATTGAACAAGATTACTGACATCCAGCTAATTAGTGATAGGTGTATGAGCTTCCTTTTCTTGCGTTTATTGAGTTCTTTTACATTCACAACTAACGGGACTGTACGTAATTGAACTTGCTTATGGCTTATTTTCTCAGGAAATTTTAAGGATAAAGGACTTAAGTAAAGGGGAATTAGGACATTCAACATGGCTGGTAATGCTGCAGCTTGTGCTGAGAGGGCAACAAGTGATATGTTGATTGGTCCAGACTGGGCAATAAATATCGAATTATGCGATATCATCAATGTGGAGCCTGGGTATGAATACTTTGTTTTCCCTCAGTTTTGTTTGTTAGATTTGAATTTAATGTATAGGTATAACCACCCATATAGAGGTCACATTACTTAAATTGTAGAGTACGTTGAATCTTTCTGAAATATTGATGGCGCAGTCTTGGTTTAAACTTGAAAGTGCTCATAGTTTATTACGTGGTAATGCATGGATAGATTCATCCTAATGTCCAACAAGGGAAACATTTTCTAATGGATTCTAGGATATGGTAAAAGCATCTGATGTCGAATAAAATTTGCCAATTATGTTCTCTGTTCCTCTCTCTCTCTCTCTCTCTCTCTCTCTCTCTTTTTATATATGTGTGTGTATTCATGTATTCAAATATACACATGCATGCACACACGAAGGTTACTACTTGGCTCCTGATAGAAGAGGTGATCTCCTCCTGATATGAATATGTGGCTATCTCATAAGGAACTCCTGTCCTCTTGAATAGTAACACTTGAAAAATTGACAGGGTAGTAGAAAGTTTTTGTGACATTGATTTGGGATGAACCGGAAACTTTGTAAAAGTAGTCGTTTATTTTTCACTAGATTCTATGAGCATCTTGGTGTATCCAGCTCTTTTGATATCTTGAACATCTCTTAGCTCTTAAACTCCGCAGAAGACTATCCTCTTTTATCTTCTATTGTTGTAGATTATTATTATTATTATTTTTGATAGAACCTCTTTCCCAATTTAAATATTCAGAATGCAAGTACATTTATTTTGCCAATGAATTGGATTGAAATTTCAGGCAAGCAAAAGATGCCTTGAAGATACTTAAGAAGCGCCTGGGCAGCAAAAATCCAAAAATACAACTCCTGGCTCTTTTTGTTAGCACTATTCCTTTTCTTTTGAGACTTTCAATATTGTTTGTGTTATTCCTTGTCATAAATTTTGCCTCTTTCTTTTAAAATTTGAAATTCATGATGTGAAGTTTCTGGTACTCTTTCCATCCCAAAATATGTTTACCTGTGAAAATGTCAATAAATTTGTGATTTATGATGGACCAGTCATGGTTCCGTGGTTGCCTTGCTATACCCTATCATCAGCACAAAACAAGCTATTTCTGAGCAATGATGTCTTTTTCCTTTTCCTAATATATTATTCGATGCAGGCATTGGAGACTGTGAGCAAGAACTGTGGTGAGAATGTTTTTCAGCAGATCGTTGAGCGTGATATCTTGCATGAAATGGTCAAAATAGTAAAGAAGAAGGTGCTGAATTTCTCTCCCAACCTTTTGTTTTCTGTTTTTACTGACTTGTTGCTTCATTTTCCCTTTCCAGTATGTGCATGAATAGGATACTAAGTTTCTTTCTGCTTTGTTATTCTAATTCCATTATGCAGCCGGACTTGAATGTTAGGGAAAAGATACTACTTCTGATAGATACATGGCAAGAAGCTTTTGGGGGACCAAGGGGAAGATTTCCCCAGTACCATGCAGCATATAATGAATTGAGGGTAATTGTTTTTATCACATCTGTGTTATACTCATGTTAAGCTTTGTTTGTGATCTGCAAACAACTAGGGTTATCTTTCCTTGAGATATTAGCATTTATGGTTTGTATGAAGTTTAACTTATGCGGTCAGTATCTTGTAGAAGTCGTGTAAGTTTTATAAGGTTAAAACTCAAGCCATTATAAAATTCAATCTATATTATGTATATTGCATGTGTACTTGAGCTGTCCCCATGGAACTATCTAAATAATTTTGGGTAAACTGATCAAAGTAGCCCATTTTTTGAAAAGTATTTCCTTTTAAAACTGCCTTATAGGATATTTCTTTCATCTGGCTAAGAATGGGTATATAGAGAATAGATTCATGTTGTTATATCTTTATGACATCACCAGTCTGACCCTGCTTGGCCCGCTGGTCCAATAAGTGACATTCTACACTGTTATTTTTCTTTTGAGTTGCTTAATAGGCCATGTTTTCAAACATTTCTGTTTAATTATATGATCTAATCAAATTAAGATTAAAGGGTAAACATGTTCAGCCCAACTGCCTTCAGTTTTGACAAATGATAGTTAATGTTGTGAATGATGGAAGTAATACTGATCTTGCAAACCCTCCTCTAGTGCAAGCCACTGCCATACTCTCATTAATCGGTTAGACCAATATGATAGTGATGTTGGTATGAGTTCTATTCACCACGAGTATTGGGGTGAACTGAGTTTATCTTTTGGGGTTTGAATATTTTATGACCAATTTGGGGGATTGGATATTTTTGGGAATGACTATTATTACTTATATGTGGTCATTTGGGGATTGATTATTATACTTTAATAACTCACTAGTACTTCAACTTATTAGTATTGCATTATTTATATACTTCCTATAAGATTTCATGTCCAAGAGGCTTACCCCTCGCCTTGTCTGACAAAAAAAAAGAAAAAAAAAAAACGCAATGCCTCTATGCCTCAGCTTTCACACTATTGGATTTCAAAGCAATTACCTTCACACCTTTTAATGACGTTTAATAGGTCCAAAATAACATTTCCATCATTTTGGTCAGCACTAATTAGATATAAACTTGCTATTCAATATTGGTACAAACTATGGATTTTAATTATTTTCTTTTTATTTAGCTTCTTCCCCCTAACTCTTTTCTTTGATAACTGACAGGCTGCTGGAGTTGAATTTCCACCAAGAGAAGAGAACAGTGTACCAATATTTACTCCACCCCAGACCCAGCCAGTCGTTTCCCCTGTTACATCATATGATGATGCTGCCATTCAGGCTTCTCTCCAGTCGGATGCATCTGGCCTTAGGTACTAGCTGAGAATATCGTTTCCTTGGAAACATACATTTTTTGGGCCTTTTCAGTATGATATTTATTCCCTTTTCAAACAATTATTGTTTCCTTTACATGCATGTTGTTCATAATGATAAACTTGCGAGTTGATTGCATGAAAGAGGTTAAAAATAGATGTAGGCAATTGGAAAATGTCCCAGGATTAAACCCCTCAGTATGACATGTTATACATATATTGTACAGTTTTGCATAAACTGGTGATTCGATTGTTTCTTGTTCACATTCTTTTCTTTTTCTTATAAATAGAATCACATTTTCCGTAAACAAAATTTATACCTTTCTCATCATCAATTTTGAATGTGTTGTGCGTGCTTTAATAGTGCAGAAAAATTTGACTATATATCTGAAAGGCCTTAACCTTGTCAAGTATTTATCAAATTCTCCCCTTGACATGAGGATGTCTCTTACATCCTTATTATTATAAATCCCATTAGTTCTAGGTCTTAAATCTTTTATAAAAGATGTCTGACAGCTTCGATTTTTTATGCAACTATTTCAGCTGCTGCTTGTTGAATGTCCATAACTGTAATTTATGACAGAATTCATCTTTGCTTGGTTGAATTTTGTGCTAATAAGATAATTGAACGATAGACTTCAAAGCATTTCTTTCCTTTGTATAGTTATTCCATCCTCATCCTTGATGCACCTCACTT